ACATAACTTCTGACTAAATATTATATAATATTTATAAATATATATATTTATATAAATATATATATATAAACACATTTATATATATAAATATATAATTTATATATATATAAATATTCATATTAATATATCTGCTTTTATTTCTATAATTTTTATATTTATTTATATAATTTACTTCTTTTGAACTTATATCTATTTCTTTTAATAAATTATCTACATTCTATTCTAAAGAGTATAAACTATCTTCAATAACAGTAAGCTTTTTATAATTTATTTTTTAAATATGTATAAAAATTGTACATTTTCTAGTTAATCTAAAAATTCTATATAATAATTTATTTTGAAAGTAGTTTCATCTTAATAATTTACACCAAAAACATTACCTAAATCAGATATTCTTTCTTATCTTAAAGCTTTTAGGTTTTATAAGAGCTATACTATAATATAAATACACTAAATTTTATTATCTTTTATTTTATTTCTTTAAATTAACAATTATTTGAGATTATTTTAGCATTATTTTTTATTTTAGAAATATGGTTCTGCTTTCATTACATGATTTTCGCTTTTGGTAATAAGTAAATCTCTTATATTATCTTCTATATTGTCTAGATTTTTACATATATCTTATATTTATACATGCACATTTTCTAATTCAAAATCATAAGTTCTTAATTTATCTAATTAGAAATCTATTTAATCTTCAAATTATTTATTTGTTTCCCAAAAATCAGAACTTCTTGAAAGTTCTATTAGTTTTCTATCTTGAGAATTCACATTTAAGTCACTTGTTACTTATTATATTATTTTTTACATTCTGGGAGTTTAATTTGTCACTTTTATTAATGTTTGTAATGTTTCTTGGTCATTTGTTAGTTCTTCTTTTGTTTGTATTATGTATTTTTGCAATTAATTTAAGCTCATTTATTACATTTTTTTTATTTAGTCTTCTTATTCATTTAATATTTTCTATTTTTTTAATTATACTAAAGATTTTCTTTTATTCATTAATAATATCATATTATTCACTTTTTTTTTTATTTTTTTATTTTTTAATTTGTTTTTTTTTTTTACTATTATTGTCTAATTCTTCATTTATTTAGTCTATTGTTAAATATTTTATTTCATTTTCAATTTATTATATTTCTTTATTTAAACGATTGGATGATGTTTAAAAAAGAAATTCTTTTAAACTATTTTATTCAACAAATGATTTCGAAGTATTTTTTTGAGACTTTTAAGGCGTTTTTTGGGAATTTTAATTAGAAAAAATGGAACTGTTTATATCAGATTGTCCTAATATAGATTTATTTGATTTCATATTTTTTTTTTATTTATTTAATTTTTTATTTTTTTCTAGTTGTTATTAAAATTAAAAAAATACAAATATAATAAAAATCTAACAATATATTGTTTTTTATTTATTATAATATTTTAGGGTTATAAAATATTAACAGTTTATTATTATTAATATAAAAGATAAAATATTTGAATAATAATTGTTTATAAATATTTATAAATTCGAAATTATATAGTTTTTTATTAATATATATATGAATTTAGTTTAAATCATTTTTAAAAAAGAAGATAAAAATAATAAAGCCATCAATATGTTTATATTTTTATAAAAAAACAATTAAATTTTATTTATTTATTTTAAACAAAAAAAAAATATAGTTTTGTTTTAAAAAATTAAATATTAAATGCTTGCTTTATATATAAATATTATTTTAATACAAAATAATTAATATTATAATAATGTTTTTAACATTTTATAAAATATTTAATAATATTAACATTGTTTTAGATTAATAATTTATAATCATATATTAATTAATTTATTAATTTCTTATTAATTAAAATTTTTTACTTTTAAATAATTAATATAAATAAGTAAATATTACATATAAAGTTAAATCTTTATAAATTTTTTAATTTTTTTTAAAAAAAAATTAAATATTTTAATAATTTATATTCTTAATATTTAATAAAAAATAAAGCAATAATTTACAAATTATATATAATATAAAAAATCTAAATATAAACATTTCATTAAAATAATCTCTATATAATATATGAAAATATTCACTTTCTTTTTAAACAAAATTTATCAAAAAATAACGAAAACTCTTTTAAAAAAAAGAAAGTTATTTAAAAAAATAAAAAATTATGAAAAATATATATCTTTAATAATACTTTATATAAATATTTATTTATTTAAATCTTAAAAAAAATACTATTAGGGATTTTATCTAGGCTTTTTTATTATATATTGCTTTTATTATTCAAATTTCATTTTAAATAATATTAATAATAATATTTTATTATTTATTAGATTTCTAGTTTTATCTTTTGAAACAGAATAAATGCGCTATAAAGTTAAGAAAAATTTCAAAATAATATATATTAATATGTTGTTTTTTTTTCAATTATTATAGAACAAAAAAAAATAAAAGAGTTTTTGTCTAATATAAGTTAATAAATAATTATAAAGTTATTTTTAATAAATATCTTATGAAAATTAAATTATATTAATAGTATTTTTAAAAATATAAAATGATTATAAAATGTCTTGTTTTAAAATATATAATTATTTGTATATTTACTACATGAAATTTTAAATATTATACTATTTTGTTAAAGTTTTACTTACTTTTTTTTGGTTATTTTATTTAAAAAAAAAAACCGCTTCAAATTTCCTAAAGAAAAAAATTATATAAAAAAATTATTTCTTAATATCTTAATAATATATATAAACATGGCAAGTATTTGCCTAAATAAAAATATTTTAGTATAATAATAGTTAGTCATTCATATATATATAATTTGAACTTTTTATTATTAAATAAATTTTCATTATATGTTTTTAGAAATATCTTATATTAATAATATGAATGTAAATCTTTTTTTAATTTGCCACTTTAAATTTATATTCTTTATTTTTATAAAATAATAAATTAAAAATAAAACATAAATATATTAAAAGAAAATTCAAATAAAAAATTAAATAATTAAGAAATTATTAATAAAAAAAATTAAACTTCATAAAATAATATTATAGTAAAGTTAAAATTTAAAAATATAAAAAAAATATATATATATAAATTGAACGTAAAATTTAATATAAAATTAAAAAGGTAGTATTTATTTTAATGTAATGTTTCTATATTATAAATTAATAATTTAATGTTTATTGTTTAATAAAGATAAATATAATAAATTAATTAATATTTAATAATTTCAATATTATAATAATAATAAAAATAAAAATAATAATAAAAATAATAATAAAAATAATAATAATAATAATAATAAAAAAAATAATAATAATAAAAATAATAATAATAAATATTAGAAAAAAATAATTTTTTTTTAATCTTTAAATTTTACTTAAATAAAAAAAAAAGATTAAAAAAAATCATCTAAAAATTTGCATTTTTTATCTTATTGTATTATATGATATGAATATAAAATATGTGTTATTTTAATGGAAAATAATATTTAATATTAATTTTTATTTATTTATATATTTTATATATATACTTTGAGAAAAATTATAAAAAATAATTTATATATAGAAATTTAATTATTTATATATAAATATATTAATTATATATATATATATATATATATATATATATCTATATATATATATTTTCATATAATATTTCATTAATTATTTATTTTAAATATGTTTTTTTATTTTTTTTTTTTTTAAATAGAAATATAAAATTAAATATTATATTGTTTAAAAACATTACTAATATCATAAAAATAAACTTTTTTACTAAGTTTTTAATTCTGAAATCTTTAATATATTTATTAATAATCTAATATTTTTTTTTTTGTTTTAATATAATAAATAACTTATCTTAATAACAAACAAAAATTAAAGAAAAAATAAAATAATAATAAAAAAACTAAAAACTTAATATAAAACTCATCTTCTCTTACAACTTCAAGACAGTTAAGATACATAATTACTTTAATTTATATAAGCATTCTAAGGTATATAAGCATTTTAAGGTACATAAGCATTCTAAGGTAAATAACCAGGTTAAGATCTATAGGCACTTTAAATTTCATAAGCAGCTTTAGGAGCATTAAAACTATTGTCTTTACTATTCTGTGTTTTTATGTTTTCATATAAGTTGATACCTTGTTATTATTTAGGTAATTTTATTTTCTTTAAAATCAAAAGTAATCCAATAACAGCTAATAAAACAAGTAAGCAAGCCAAAATAATAAAGATAATTAAGAAAGTCAAATTAGTTTTAGAATCTCCAGGTACAAAGCTATAAGATTCGGCTAATAAAATAGTATTTTAATCAAGATTGAAGACTGCATGATATTATTATAAGAATTAAGTTCCTAATACAAATTCATTTGAGAAGGCATCTTCTTAGAATTTAATTAAGAGTAAACATTTTTCATTTTCTAATTTATGTAAATAATTATCAGAAGGCACCTTAAAGGATTAAAGGTTAGAATCTTCGTAATCTTTAGTTGAATCTTTTAATAATTAAAAGTTGATTTCTGGCCAATTTTAACAATCACAGATGTATTATGTATTTTCTTAACTACAATTATGACTTTATACATTGAAATGTTAGAATATGGCATCAGGAAATACATAATATCTAGTAGTTGAGTCAAATACTGCTTTAGATAATTAACTTTAATCTATTTTTATATATAAATATTATTTTTTTAAGTATTTATTAATATATATATATATATAGATATATATATAATATATATATATATATATATATATACATTTTTATACAAATATATATAAATTATTTATTATTTTATTTTTTACCTTTTGATGGAAGATTTGTTAATTATGAAGAAACTTTAATTTCCTTTTTTTCATAATTTAATTTTATTTCGGTGCCTAATCTTAATGACCAGATTAATTTTTCATCTTCTAATGAATTTTTAAATGATTAAAATTAACTTTCAGGTTATTTGAAGAAATCGTTTGATTTTCCAAAAACAAGCTTTTTTTTTTAAAAAAAAAAAAAAAAAAAAAAAAAACAAATTATTATTTATTTATTATAGATATAAATAAAATTAAAAAAATAACCTAACTTTAATCCTTATTTATATAAATTGAAAATTAATTAACATTCTAACCTTTTTATTCTAAAAACTTCAAAAGGTTTCTCTTTTACAAATTCGGAGAAAGACATAAACCACCATCAATATTGCTTAAATAAGCCTATTATTCTACTTCAGAAAATTTTAATTGAACAATGTCATATATTTATCCTACACATAAATCATCCTTTTAAATTTCTATTTTATTTTCTTTTAATTAAATATGCTTAATAGAACGTAATTATCTTCCTAAGAAATTAAAATGAGAACCACTTGCTTCTGCTTTACATGTTTCAGTGTCCTTTATTTTACATTCGAAAAAAGAATCCAACTTCTAATCTTTACTAAAACAATTTGAGCAAGTTTTATCTATTATCCATGTTTCTTAGTTTCTTAAATCTATAACAAAATCTAATTCTTTTTCTTATAAACTAGCTTTAAAAGTGTATAGAGTATCTAAATATTAGGAAGATATAGTAACATCTAAACTATTAAGGGGTATAGTAAAAGAAAGAGCATTTATAATAAATATTAATAATAATAATAATTTATTTAAAATCATTTTGGTATTTTTATTTTTCTATTTTTTAGTTATATTTATTTTTTTTATTAATGTTTATATATTTTTATTAAAGTATTTTTTTAAATTATTTTTATTTTATTTATATATAATTAATTATATGTATAGACATTTTTTTATTTAAATATATTTTATATTATTATTGAAAACAAAAAAATTAATAATTTTTAATTTAATTTTTTTTTATTTAAAAATAAAATATTTATATTATAAAAATTAATTAATTTTATTATTATTATAATATAATGTTTTTAAATATTTAAATAAATATTTTTACATAATTAATATTTTTTTTTTTTTTTGAATAATGTTTATTTAAAATTTAATTATTATAAATATTAATATATATATATATTTATTTATGTATTTATTATTCTACTCATTTTACCATACTACTGCTTTAATTTGTTAATTATAATGAAAATCTTTCATATTTCGACTTTTCATCTCTAATTCTTTCAATTTTTATAGCTTAATAAAGTAATGAAGCACCATGGGCAGCAAGTACAAAAGATATAAGTATATATCCAACAAAAATATTACTTTAATTAAAAACGAACAATTTGTTTTCACAATCATCAATATAACTATATTATTTGCAAATAGAATTGAGAGAATATTAAGCATTTCGAAGTATTTATATGGTTTTTTATTAACTATTAATATTTTTATAATTTGAGCAAATTTATTATTCACTTTTCATATTTTGAATTATAAACTAACCAGTAAAATTAGTATGACAAATCGCATTTTAACATAAAATATTTTATTAAAATTGAATAAAATACATTATAGTATTTATTAATACTGTCATTATATTTAAAATTCCTATAAACTTATATGTCCATAATTGGACTTTTTAAAGTTTTAAATTATGTATAAAAACACCAAATGTAATCAAAAATTGTACTATACCAAATGTATATGGCCATATTGATTATACCCAACAATTATAGTTGTTTAAGGATACTCCCGTATATATTAGAAATGAAATACTTATTAAGGCAAATACCATATATAGGTTTTGTTATACTGATATTTAATGTAATTGTTCTAACATTAATTTACATTATATTCGCCTTTCATGCTATTCATTTAAGTCCATTTATTATATATATTAATTCATTTTTATTTAAGTATTAAATTTTATTAAAATAATTTTTTTAAAAATTTTAATCTAAAATATATTTGAAATATATATATATATATATAAATATTATTTGTGCTTTTATAAATATTTATTATTTTCATTCTAATTCAATTAAAGTGTATTCATATTTTAATATTTATACATTTTTTTCTTATAATTATTCTTAAAGTTCTAAAATAGTCCATTCTCCTTATATTTATTCTTTAATTATATTTTCTTACTAAAAAATATATTAATTAATATCTTTATCTATATATAAATCAAGCAATTGTTTCAATCCTTTTTAAATATATATAAATATATATATATATATAAATATAAATATATATATATATATATATAAATATTTATATTTTATATAATTATTTTATATATATTAATTTTTTAATATTAATATAAATTTTTATAAAAGCTCACTTTTATTAATTATTTCTTGTTCTTAAACATTTTTGCATTTAAACCAATTATCTAAAAGATTTTCTGTTAAAAAATTTTATTTTTTAAGTTTTTATACAACATCACTTTATATATTTATTATTTAACAAATTGATTACTATTTATCATTTTTTTACAAAATATGTAAAAAGATTTATAAAAAATTCTATAAAACTTTAAACCCAATCTTTTTTTATTTATAAAGCAAATATTTTTAATATATTTTATATATTAATTTACAGTTCTTGCAAAAATGGAAACTAGAGGATTAGTTGAACTAGCTAATAGTGCTAGTAAAAAAGCTTAAATATTTGAAAACGAAAAAGGGTTTTATTATAATAGTTTAACTACTTTATTTGTTCCAAATATCAGTAATTTTCTAAAATAAAAACTATTTGTATTTTAATCATTTTACACATTACCTCTATATATATCATTAAATTCTTGCTTTAAATTTTTTTATTAATTACTTTAAAAAATTGCATAAAAATATAAATTTTTTATTTATTTATAAAAAAATAAATATATTATTATATATTCAATATATATTTATTAATATTATACTTATTTTCGTTAAAACAATATGTTTCTATTCTTAATATTAAATCATTCGCTTTTTCTTATTCAAGAAATAAATTTCCTATTACTAATGAAAGTTCTCTAATTTCTTTATAAATAAATTATATATAAAAATTTGTGTTTATTAATACGTTCTTCTAATTCTCCTTTTATTTCGTGTAAATTTAGTTTTTCTATTTTATAGTTTTAATTGAATATTATTTAATAATATTCTTGCTTTATTCTATTTGAAAAACTATGTAATAAATTTTAATCTATTTTTTAGTAAAATAATCTTTTGTAATTCATTTAAATTTAAAAGCTTTAGTTTTTTAATAATTTCTCCAGTTTTAAATAATATTAATATCTTAATTTTGTAAAAGTATTATAAAGAAATGGTGGTTTTATTGAGTTTATTTCAAATTAAGATAATTAATTTTCGAAATCGTATATTAATAAATCAAATTAATGTTTAATTCTTATATTAAAGCCTATATATAAATCATTTTATTTATCAAGTATCGAAAATTAATTTAAAAATAATTATCTATTATCTAAATTTACAGATTATTAATAAATAAGCTTCATTTTTTATAAATAATAAAAATAATTAATTTTAATTAAAAAAAATAAAATAAAAAAAAATAGTATATACATAATATTATAATTTTTTTTTTAATAATAATTATATTAAGATTTAAAAAAAAATTCCCTATTATTTTAATTTTTATTATTATAAAATAAAATTAATAATTTATCAATTACTTATAATAAAAAAAAATAACCACAAAATAATTAAATATGAAATAATCTAATCTGAAAGAAGAAAATAATATATAATTCAGTTGTACGAAATTCAAACATAAAAAAATATATAACTAAAGCGAAAAAGATGCTATAATATATTTAAAATTACGAAAAGATGGTTGTCCTCGAAAAGCAGCAATAAATTTTACTTCGAAAAATATTTGTTTGACCGATTCCACAAAGTAAATATATGGTCCAACTAGTTTCCGTAATTTAAAGATAAAAAAGCCTTCTAATTATTTATTAACTAAAGGATGGCATTATGGTCCACCTAATTATAAAATGGGTAATAAAAATAAAAAATAATTAAAATAATAATTAAAACATATAGAATAATAGTATTATTTAAGTCCAAAAGAAGTAATATAAACTGATTATTCTGATGAATTATTTATTTAGAGATTTGAATTTCATGAAAATAATGTAAAAAAAGACTTTTAAACAATGATAAAAATAATGAAAGATTATATAAATGACGTGACTAATAAATGTATAATTAACAAAGGAAAATCAAATGAGATTTTTTTGTAAAATATTTAATAGTTAGTGGAGGATTTTAGGAAGAAATCGACTTATAATTAATAATTTTTTGAATATAAAAATATTAAGTTTTATTATTTGGTTGATTAATTGTAAGAATTGGCTAAAAAATAAAAAAATAAATTAAATAATTAATCTTTTATTGAATAATTTAACGCTTTTAATAATCTTTTAACTGAAAATGATTTAGAAAGATTTCCTTTGTAAAATAATTGATAAAATCCTCATAAAAAAAATATCTTATAAACATCTAAAAATAATAAAAAAGTATTTTTTTGTAAAATCCGACTTTTAATAGTAAAAAGAATTTTGAAGATTAAAAAGTTCAATATAATCATAAATAAATTAGCGAAGAAGAAAAAGATCAAATGAGATTTTTTTGTAAAATATTTAATAGTTAGTGGAGGATTTTAGGAAGAAATCGACTTATAATTAATAATTTTTTGAATATAAAGATATTAAGTTTTATTATTTGGTTGATTAATTGTAAGAATTGGCTAAAAAATAAAAAAATAAATTAAATAATTAATCTTTTATTGAATAATTTAACGCTTTTAATAATCTTTTAACTGAAAATGATTTAGAAAGATTTCCTTTGTAAAATAATTGATAAAATCCTCATAAAAAAAATATCTTATAAACATCTAAAAATAATAAAAAAAGTATTTTTTTGTAAAATCCGACTTTTAATAGTAAAAAGAATTCCGAAGATTAAAAAGTTCAATATAATCATAAATAAATTAGCGAAGAAGAAAAAGAACACGTTAAATTATCCAGAAATATTTTAAATTAAAAGCTATCTTAAATAAGTAAAAGCTCATCTTTGGATGTGGCGAAAATATAACTTAATTTATTAGAAGGAATGGACAATAATGATAATTAAATTTTCAATATGTCAAATTAATAATTCGATAAAGATTATAAATAATTATAGAAGGTAAAAAGTTTTTTAAAAAAACAAGAATTTTGTTAAATTTCTGAATAATAATAGAAATTAATGGAATAAGAGTTTAATATTGCCTAATATTTTTATAAAAAAGAATAAAAATAAACACTGTAAATTGAAAATTAAAACGATGATTTTTTATCTCAAAAAAGCGAAAAATAAAATATTTAGAAAAAAGTACTTGATTTTGATAAAAATATTTAATTAATTATTGATAAATATAAAAATAATAATTTTAAAAGGGAGAAATTTTTAAAGGAAAGTTCTTCTTTTGATAATCATCATAATATTGAGGATATTATGGCCTATAAAAATAAATGTATGGGATAATTTATGAAAAGAAACTTTAAAAAATTCTAAAAAATAAGCTTGTAAGATTGCTAGAATTATTTCCAAAAATTTTAAAGCTTGGAGGCTATTAATTAACATTTTTTTTTCAAAAAAAAAACAATTTACTTTAAAAATCATATTAGAAAGCTTTTAAAGATTCATATATATAATAAAATACATTTAAAGATATGTATATTACTTAACCTTAAACTAATTTTTAGAAATTGTTTGAAAATAAATAATTTAACAATAATTTTTAGGAGATTAAGTTGACTTCTTGATATACATAATATTTTTTGAAATTAATATATTTTAAATTTTAACTAATTTTATATATTCTTTTATATATTTACTAATATATTTAATTTTTAAGTAGAAAAATATTATTTTTATTTTTCGATTAAATAAGTAATAAAAATATTTAAAATTGAATTCAACTTTATATATTTTTTAGTTTTTTTGCAATAATAATTAGATTTCTTATTATATATTTTCTTTTATTTATATTAATTACTAACTATTTATAAATTCTCATTTATTTTGTTCCCTTTCCAACTTTTTGTAACCTAAAATAATGAAATTAACCTTTTTAAAAAAATACATAAGGTGACAAAATAAATGAAGCATCTCACAAAGCCTTTTTGAACTAAAAGTACCAAAATTAAGATTTTTTTAAAAAAAATATGAAAAAAAAGGAAAAATACTTGAATGTTTTGAATATATATTTATTTTATTATTCCTATAATAGAACATTATATGTCCCTCATATTGTTTTTTCTGTATTTTTTTTTTTTTAAAAAAAAAATCAAAAATTAAAGTCGAGAAAAAAAGTATTAAGCCCTTTATTTTATTTAATTTTTGTAAAAAAATTGTATAAAAAATAAAATAAAAGCAAATTATAAATAGATTTTATTTTTTGCTAATTTATTTTTGTTAATAAATTTAAAAATTAATGCTTTAGATAAATTAATACAGAATATATTAGAAACTTTTTTAAAAAAATAAAATATTATTGTAGATAATAAAAAATGAATTAAAGTATATTTTTTTTAAAAAAATCTTTCATTTATTTTTTAAATGAAAGTTTTTTTTTTTTTTTTTAATTAATATAATAAAATTTATTTTAATAATTTATTTTTTATAATATATTATTTGTTCTTGTGTTTTTCTATTATTTTTTATATTATTTTTAATAAACTTAATCAATATAATATAAAAAAGCGAGAAAAAATAGGATAAACTGCCCCCCTTTTTGTTTCAATAAAGTATTTAAAAACGGAACAAAAAAACAGAAATAAAAACAATTAAAAAAACATAGAAAAATAATATGTATATATTTATTATTTTTTCTTATATTATTACACCAAATAAATAAATTTTCACAAAAATTAATGATTTTTCAAATTTATTTTTTCAATTTTTTATAAAAAAAAATATTGAATATACATAAGTATATTTATTATATCTTTTTTTTTTTGTTTAATTAAAAAAAATAAAATAATAATATAAACAAAAAAATTAGTTAAAATAAAAAATGTTAACTTTATCAACAAAATGCTATATATCCACTCAAGGTGAAGAAGGAATAAAGAGTTTTAAATATAAAGGAGGCTCCGATTCTATATTTTACTCATATTTCTGGTCCCCTCTATGTGATTATTTAGTTAAGAATTATTTTCCTTCCTACTTAGCTCCTAATTCGATAACATTAATCGGATTTTTAATCCATTTAGTTGCCCATATAATAGTATTATATTACAGTCCTGATTTAAAATAAACCTTGCCATAATGGTTATGCTTTTTATTATCCTTTAGTCTCCTTACATACTAAATATTAGATAATTGTGATGGAAAATAAGCCCGAGCAACTGGTAGTTCGTCACCTTTAGGGATGTTATTTGACCATGGATGTGATGCATTAACCACTTGGATCGTTACATTAAACACTGCTGCGGTTTTTAAATATAAGAAACTGCATTATTATATTATTCAATTTATATAATTGGATTAATTCCATTCTTTTTAGGAATGTGGAGTTAATATTATTGCGGGTCATTTAGATTAGGTAAAATATTTATATATATACATATAATTAAAAATAAAACAAAAAGGATATATAAATGCAATAGATGAAGGATTAGTACTTGGGGAACTAATATATTTTTTAACAGGAGTTTTTGGTTAATAAATGTGGGGATGGCAATTATTTAATACAGGACTAGATTTAGGACATTGTTTAATATATATATGTATGATTATTTCGATACTTTAGAGTATATAATTTACCAATGATATGTATTAAAAAGTTAATTTTAGTATTTTTTTAAATGCTATTGGAAAATTGGTTTGTTTATTATTGTTAAATATAACTTTTATCAGCTTATATCTATTTAATTCAAAAAGTTTAATTGATATGTATTTAATTCCTATTTATTATTCATTAGCCTTTGTTTGGTCGAAAATTATTACTCATTTATAAGTTGCTCATATTACTTAGGAGCCGTTTGATTAGTGGAGGTATTCTTTTGTTTTTGTGTGTATTTCGTTCACTGTAAACTCGATGTATTGTTATGTTTAAGGCGAATATTTGGTTGACATGGTTAGTTTAATTTATTTTAATTTGTTTTTAGCAGTTGTTTGTTATATGCATTTTATTTATTGCGTTTTTAATCATATTGCTGATGTTTTGGGAATTTATATTTTCTATATTGGAAAAAAAAATACTAAGTTATAATATGTTACACCTTCAGTAGTTTAAGAACAGGAACTCAGTTTTGTTTAGGATAAAGTGGAAGAATAGAAAAGTTAAGTTATATAAATTTGATATTATTTTATGTATTAAATATTTATTTGTTAAAATAATAATATTGTTATGTTGATTTAAATTAATAAATAAATAAAAAAGAAATTAAATTTATATATATATATATATATATATATATTTATTTTAATAATTATTATTTTAATTAATAATTTAAAAAATATGTTTTATTTACTTTATTTTTATATGAATTATCGAGAATAAATAATTATTTTATATTACAAATACATATTAAATATAATATTTTTTTACATTTAAACAATTGTAAAAAATTGTAATATTTTAGTAGTATAGGACTAATGTTAATATTGCTTTTGTTTGCAAAAAATTACTTTATTTTTTAAAATTAATTATTTTGTATTTTTTTTATAATATTTTTTTTCATATAACCAATAAAACTCAAAGTTATTTGAGTTATATTGTGGTATTAATATATATAAAATATTAATAAAATGGAATTATGTAATTTTAAATAAATTTAATAGAAAAAACTTTAGTAAATTGATATGGAAAATAACTAGATTTATAAATTTTTCGATTAAATAAAGAAAAAATTGAATAAATAAGGATTTTGCTTAAAAAAGTAAAAATGCAAGTAGGATAAATAAAAGTTTTATTATTATATATTTTTAATGATTATTATTTTAAAAAAAGATAATATATGTTTTTATGGCAATAATTATTGTAATTTAAAAAATAAAAGTGACATATTTAAGCTTATTTCGGTGGAAAAATTATAAATCTATAGAATAAACTCATTTAAAAAAAAATATTATTAAATTAATTGATATATTCACAACTAGATAATTAATAATAAAAAAAAAATTAAAAAAAAATGTTCTTTAAATAAAATATTATATAACAATAAATAAAATATTTCCTATAAATAAAAAAAATATATCGTCATCAATTACATTTGTACGTATGAAAAAAATAATAATATATTTTTCCATATTTATTTTTAAACTTAAAATACAAAAATTGAATTCTTTCGTAATTAAAAAAAAAAACATAAAATACATATTAATGTATTTCACATTCAAAAAAAAAAAAAAAATGTGAAAAATAAATTTAATTATATTCATTCAAACAATGTTTCTTGGAACATTGAATGCTTTTCCATTTGAGCCTATAGTTCTGTTCCATAATGATTAATCATTTACGTATCTTCTATAGTATTTTTATTGTCTTTTGTATGCGAATATTGCACTTCCCACTACAAAGCCTATGTATAGTTTTTATAAAAAAACTTTATTTATTATATATAATTTTTTAAACCTAAAGTAGCAAATAATACTTCATTTCTTCCTCCATGTGCTAATTGCTTTAAGTGAAATTTTGAAGGATCTAATGTCCACCATAAACGAGCCATTTATTTATAAAGAAAATATTTTTTTTATTTAGTTATTTTAATTATTTATATTTGTTATTATTTTATTAATCTTTTTTATTTTCTTTATAAATAATAAATATAATTAAATATAAATACTTTTTATATCTAAAAAAAATAAAATAGATCGTATATACAATATATTGTTTTATTTTAATATTATTATTTTTTATTTTTATATTATAAATTAAATAAAAAAATAATTTGACTTTTTTAATCTTTTTATAATAAAAATAATTTTAATTTTTTAATTTTTAACTAGAATTTATTCAATTAATAATATTATTTGGTTTTTTTTTTTTAAAAAAAAAAAAAATTCTTAATTAAGAATAAAAAGGACATTTGGCTTTTTTCTACTTTTTTTTATTTTTTTAAAAAAATACATAAAATAATATTAGGTTTCAACAAAATATTTAATATAATTAATAAATATGTAATAATAAACTAAATAATAATATTTATTTTATTTCATTTTCTTCGATTATAAGAAAGAAATACTAATGATTTAAGATAATATTTTAAATTTCCAATAATACAATATTTCTGGTATATTTAAACAATTTCTTTTTTTTAAAATAATACATATCCCTCAATAAAGGTAGTGATGAATAAATAAAATATATGAATTGTTTTAAAAATGCAAATTAGCCAAATATTATGTTATTATATTTAATATTTAGAAAGCATAATTAAAATATGAAGTAATTTGGTTAATTTTTAAAGTAAAATAATTTATTGCTTTTTATTTTTTCAAATATAAATATAAGTATTTCACCAAATTTTAATAAGAATTAAATAATATAGCTTTTATTTAAAGATAATAATAACAAAAATAACTATTTAAAGCAAATACAATTTAATATATTCCTAAAGAAATATTAATTTGAAATATAATGATTATAATTTTGTAAAATAATAAAATAAAAAAAGTCAATATTTATAAAATTTGGAAAAAGTAAATTTTAATTTTTTCTATTTTAAATAAATATAATTAGAGAAGTAATCAATAATTTAATAACTAAATTTTTTATTTTATTTAGTATTAATTAACAAAGCTAAAGAATAATAAAAATACTTAAAAAATTATATTTTTAAAAAAATATTACATTGTATTATTTTTTTTATTTAAATTATTGTATATTAAATTGTTTGAATTTATTTAATTTTACAAATAATAATTTTTTATATTATTTATAAAAAAATAAAATATTATTACATTATATATGCTAATATAAATATTTATTGTAACAATTTTTAAAAGAAATATTCATTTTTTTCCTAAAAGAACTTTTATATGATTTTCTATTTAATTATTGTTATCTTAATAGGTATTTCTTATAAATTCTTTTATTAAAATAACAAAATAAATAATAATACAAATATATATTATAAAAATTATAATAATTATACTTTATTCCAAAGTATTTTTATAAGGCGAATTCTAATTATAAATTTTTACTTCATCTTCATTATATGCTAATGTTTAAAAAAAAGTCATAAAATAATAATAAAATTTAATAGTAATTATTTATTTACTGTTTTTAGGTCTATGTTTATATAAGCTTTAAATTGCTTATTAATTAAATTTTTGTAAATTGTTTCCTTTATTTTAATAAATATTTTGATAATAGTTATCAATAATATTCTAAGATTCTTTATTAAGCTTAAATTTTCTTGTCTTTAAGATTCTTTGTTTTAATTTAAAAATTATTATTATTAAAATTCTTGTTCTTATTAATAATATTATTATTATTATTATTATTATTATTATTATTATTATTATTATTATTATTGTTTTTTATATTATTTATTATTATTAATTTTCTGCTTATTTTATATTTATTTGCATTTTATTTTCTAAAGCTTCTTATATTTCCACTACATCTTAGATAGTCGAACTTTTTCTTAAATTATTATCATTAATGTTTTTTATTTTTAATAATTATATCTTTATTATTTTTATAGAGAATCTTATTCTTATATATTATTTACATTTTAAGAAAATTTATTTTATAAATCTTTTTAAAATCTATATTCTCCATAAGAATTATATTAATTTACAGTTTATATATTTTAATTTTCTTACTACATGCTATTTTGGTGACTATTTATTTAAATTTATTACTTTTATTAATATTAATTATAAGGATTTTAACTAATACCTATTTTTTATTATGTTTCAAATGAAAAAGTAGTCAAAAGTGTATCTACACTAAAACATATTTAATTTATTTCATTACATATATTTTCTATTTTGTTTATACTATGGTCTTCTTTTATTTCTTTATCTAATATATTATCATTTTTGCCTTTCTTTTTTTATCATCTTCTTCTACTTCTTCATCGTCTTCATTCTCTACTTCATCTTCATTTTCTTCATCATCGTCATTTTCTTCTTCGTCTTCGTCTTCGTCTTCTTATTCTTTATCTTTGTTTTTATCTTCATCTTCATCTTCATCTTCATCTTCATCTTCATCATCTTTTTCATTTTCATTATCTTCTTCATCTTCTTCTTCTTCCTCTTCTTCTTCTTCTGATCTATCTTTTTTTATTTATTTTATTTTTAAGTCTTTGTTTTTTTTTTTTTACTATCCTCTTCGTCTGACATTGATATTTTAGTTTTTATAACTTTTTAATTTATTAATTAAAAAAAGAATTTAAATTATTTTATTATTTAAATAATTATATAAAATAAAATCAATATTCTTAATTTTTGTTTAAAAATTAATTTTTTTTTTTTTTTCGAATATTTTTTATTTATATTTAAATCTTAATAAAATTAGTATATTTTTTATTAAAAAAAAAAAATAGATTTTTTTTTTTAATTTTTTTTTTTTTTTTTTTTCAATTATTAAATTCTTATAAAAACTAAAAATAAGCCTTAAATTATTTTTTAATTCATAATTTATTGTCTAAAATATCATTTAGTTTTCCGATTTCTTTTGATAATTAACTAATTTTATTATCAATTTATTCTTTGTATGGTAAAAAATTATTTGCAGATTAATAAAGAAGATTATTCTGTTAACTTTATTATGATTACATTAAACTTTATTATAAATATAACTTTTCTTATTAACTATTTAAAAAAATAGGTTTATTAAATTAAGTTTTTGGTTAATTATAATAAGAATAAGAAAAAAATTTCTATAATCACCTTTATTTTTAAAAAGATAAAAAAATAAAAAAAATTAGTTATTTTTACCATATTTATTTTATGAAATTTAATAATGTTTTTGATAAGGTTTAAAATTATTATTAAATTAATATTTATTATTAGTAGACCTGTTAGACTAAAAATCTACTATAAAAAAAAAAAAACAATATATTTATAAATACATATATATATATATATATATATTTATTTATATAATACTTTGCTTATTATTATTATCTTCTATTTTTATATTTTTTTCTAATTTTATTTTTAGTTTCCATTTATCAATTTCTTCAGTTTTATTTTTTATTTCTTCATTTAATCTTTCTATTTCTATTGATAATTCATTTATTTGACTTCCCATATTTTCATATTTTTATTATAAATTTTTATGTTTTTCTTACATAGATTTTAATTCATCATCATATTTTCTTATTTTTATATTATCTTCATCCCTTAAATTTTAAAGAGTTTCTTATAGAATTTTAATTTCTTCTTTTAAGCTTTATTAACTTTAATTATCAATTTAATATGGTATTTAACATCCTGTTTCTATTTAATTATCTTTGGCCATAATTACTGAGTTTAACCTATTATTTTCTTTTGCAAACGTTTCTATTTATTATTATAACTAAAGTATAATATCACTATTTTGGGATATTTCAGAAGATTATTATTTATATAATACTTATTTTAATGAAAAAAAAAAAAATTGAATAAATTTTACATATATTTTACTATCGATTTCTTTATTTTTATATGATAAAGCATCATTTAATCTTTCTATTTCTCGAATAAAAAACTATATTTATTACTCTATATTCTTTTACTCAGAATTTATTGATTATTAATTTATAGACTCTTGCATTTATTTTATTTAAAATTTTAACTTTTTTTATATATTTTTTTAAAAAATTTAAAAATATTTACATTATCTGTTTCTTCTTATTTAGCATTTAAAGAAAAATTAATACGTTCATTTTCATTAATTAATAATAAAATCTAAATTATGAAAAATATATAAAAAATTATAATCTTTTAAATTACTTTTTTATCAACTTAGTACATTTCATTTGATTATCTTCTTGATATTGAATTTTTTTTTAAATCTATAATATTTTGTTTATTAATTTAAACAATTTCATCTAATATCTTTGTATAAATATATTATATATATATATATATTATTATATTTATTTATAATTTATATATTTATATATATATTTATTAAAAATTATAATAAAAAATATAAAATAAACATATTGTGAATTTTAAAAACTGTCTGAGTTTTTGCATTAACTATCAGAAATTATCGAATCATTATTTTTATTTTTATTTTTATTTTTATCTAAAATATTTTCTATTTAATCGCATATTGTTAATATATCTATGTTTTTCTTTTAAACTTTTTAATTTTTTAAAAATTCAAAGATATTTTCTTCTTAATTATATTATAAGAATTCTGAAATTTAAGAAAATAAATTCTAAAAATTTTATTATATTAAAGGATTTAAATTCACTTTTTATAAATTTTGAAAAAAATTATTTAGTTATTATTTTAAATTCATATCAATATAATTATTCTCTAAATCTTGCTAAAAATTTAGCAATTAATTATTTATTTTTATTAATTTTTATTATTCTTATTATTTCTAAAACAATTAATTTATTAATTAACTTAATACCATATCAAAAGGCTTTTATTAATGATTTTGCTTTTTATGAATATTTTCTTTAATACATAAACTGCACATTTAATTTAAATATTAGTTTTTTTCTTATTTACATTATGGATCTATACAAATCATATTCATTTAGTTTTCTTAATGATCTTTATTTAGTTCACAGTTATGATATTTTAATTTTTAAATTATTTCTAATAGTATCTCTATATGCATATTTTATTTATTTGCTTTTAAAGTTTTTATTAATTTAAATTTTTTTATTTTTTTTTAAATTTATTAAAATAAATAATTATTTATTTTATTTTCTATAAAAAAAAATAATTATAAATAAATATTAAATATTAATTATTAAAAAAAATTTTTAGTTTTTATATTATATAAGAAAAAATAAAATAACTTGTTTGATTTTAAATATAAAACTTAATAATTATGAATTATATATTATTTTGTAATCAAATATATAAATCTAATATTGCCAATTTAAAATTTGTAAGTATATAAAATAAAAGGAGGATAAAAAAATACTCAGAATAAGTATAATAAACTACTAGTGATTAAAGGATATTAATCAGTAATGATATATATTAAAGATGCTATTTTATATTTAAATAAGATTATTTAATCTTAAAAATAAATTATTGGCTTTAATATTATATTGAAAATAAAGTTTATTTAAATGAAAATATCATTATGAAAAAAATATATTAATAAGAATTGATAAATCATTAATATATATTTTTTTTAAATATATTATATTATTTATTATAAATATTGGTATTGAAAAGAAATTTAAAATTCATTATAAAAATTAAAAAGAAATATATAATATAATAAAAATTATTAATAGTTTTTATTATAATAAAAATTTTGGTAATATATATATATATATATATATATATATATATATATATATATATATATATATATATATATATATATATATCGCAATTTTCATAAATTTATATGGCATTATTTTATAATTTATATATAATTATAAATAAATATTTAATTTATTAAATTTTTATTAATAATAGTCTTTCATTAAAAAAATGATATCTTTTTATAATGAAAAAATTACCAAATAAATAATTTATATAAATATATTTAAAACATATTTTATATTAAAATATATTTTAATATTTAAATATGTAAATAAAAACAACTAATTATACAATCTTATTTTTATAAATATTTCAAAATTTTATTTAAAAAAATTATATAAATTAATATTTTCTAAGTTTTCGGTTATGCTAATTTTTATAAGTTTTATATTTATTAAACTCATATTTATTTAATATACAATATAATTTATTTTTTTATATACTTATTTATTCTGAATTTTTTAATAGTATATATTTTTTTATTAAATTAGCAAATTTACTTTTAAACTATATAAATTTTACTACATTATAAAATAAATTAATATAAAACCTATTAAATGATTACTTATAAAAATAAAATAAAAATTTAAAATTTGTTCATATAAGTATATATAAATATGTATATAAATGATTTAGATAATTTTATTCATCTAATAATTTTTTTTTTATATATATTATTTTCAAAGTTATTGTTTTTATAATTTCTTCTCTTCAATATTTTTTTTTTATTATAACACTTATATCTAATCTTTTCAACTTAGCCTACTTTCTTTCAAAAGGAGCCTCAAAAGTTCATTTTTTTCTTCTAAAATTTGTTAATTACTTCTTTTAAAAATTTTTGACTTTTAAATTGAAAATGGTTAATTTTTTTTACAAATTCTAAGAACCTTATAAATTATTTTTTTTTAAAAAAAAGTAATAATTTATGTATGCTTATATTTGTATACTCTTAGTCCATTTCTACTGTATTTTCTTTAAGGGCTTCATCTATTCTTTTAAGTTAAAAAAAATGATGATCGTTTTTTGAGGTATAAAGTAGCTCAAGTAGCCATTACACTGGAGGAAGGTTCTAAGTATTAATACAGAGATTTTCAGGTTTTATTATTTAAGTTATTTCTTCATATACTTTGATTGCTTTATTTTTTAGTTTGTTATAATTTTTATTTTATAGAATCTTTTTTAGGAGCAAATTCTTATCCAGAAGCAATTTTAAGTAAATCAGATATGTTAAAGCATGTTTTTACATTTTTTTAGTTATGGAAGGATAAATCCAAAGTCAATCACATTCCAATAAGTGTTCTCGTAATTTTTTAAATGAACATTAAGTTCATCTTTACTTAAAATAGCATAGAGTTTTTTTATATTCATTTTTATTTTTATAATAATTATTTATTTCGTTATAATGAATATTAATGTAATAAATAAATGTATAATTAATTTTCAATTAAAATACTTAGTATTGAAAATATTTAGCTTACTTTATTTCCAAATGTCTTTATAAATTTAATAATTAGAAATTAAATTTTATTTTAATGTAATAAAAAATTTAAAACAAATTTTAAAAAAATATTTTTGTTTATTAAAATTATTTTTTTTGATAAAAATTATTTTTTATGAATCAATATTAATTTATTTAATTAATAAATTTTACTTTTTTATTTGCACACGAAAATATTTTTTATAAATATTTTTTTTTTCAATTAAATATTTTTAATTTAAATTAAATATTGTATTTAATTAAATATAAATTAATAATAAAAATAACTAAATATATTAGATTCCTAGTCTATTTAAATATATATATATACAAATATATATATAATTACAAATATAAATATATATATATATATATATATATATAAATTTGTATATTTTTTTAATATTATAAATTATTACTGAATTTAGTTTAATATCTTAATTTTTTTAAATTATTTATCTATTTTTAATTTTTTTATAATTTTTTTTTTTTTTAATTCATAATTTTATATACATTTGTTTCGTACATAAATTATTTTTTATTTTAAAAAAATAAAATATTTTCACTTAAAAATTATAATGAAATAACATATAATTTTAAAATATTTATTTTTAAACATGAATTGATATTGTTATATTAATATATTTTTTAATATAAAATCATAAAATATAATAATATAAAAGCTAAAATATATTATTATTTTTATTTTTATATTTTTGATAAATATCATTGATATTATTTTTTTGTTTGATAAAAATATATATCTTTAAAATACCTTTTTTTAAACTCTTTAATATAAATATTATTTTAATTTTATTTTTTAATATTTTAATTAAAGAATAAAGATATAATTATTATTATAATATAACATAGTTTTTAATTTTTGATATACTTAAAATATATTCTTATATTAATAAAAATAAAAAATATAATTGTTAGGCTAAAACTAATAAGTAATTTTAATAAAATAAAAATAATTATTTTATTTTATATTATATATTATTTACAATAATAATCTTTAAATTTTATTTTAGTAAATATATTTAAAAATTTAATTAATTATTTACATATATATTATTTTTATTCGTTTATTTTATTTATATTTCTTTTTTTATTATATTAAGTAAAAATATTAAACGAAATTATTATTTTATTTATATATTATAAATTAATATAAAAAAATAAAAAAAATATTAATTAATATTAATTATCAATAAAAAATATTAAAGTATTTAATAATATATTTTATATATGTAAAATATATATAATTTTATTTAAATTTTTATAGGTAAGATATATATTTATGTATATATTTTCAATTTCAAACGAGAAAATATTTAATTTTGTATTTTATAGTTTATAAAAAAATAAAAAACATTAATAAAACCTTTATATTTTTAACCGGGTTATTAAATTAATAAAAAAAAAATAATTAAAAATTATAAAAAATTAAGATATATAAAAAAAAAACAATGGAACAAAATTAAAATCCAAAAAAAAAAATGAAAGATTATTTATAAACAATAAAAAACCATTTGAAAAATCATCTGATAATTTTTTTGATTTCAACCAAAAAAATTTAATAAAATATATAGAAAGTATTAAAGACACAAAACCTTTTATTTAAAATTAAAAAACAACATAATTAATATAATAATCTAAATTTATGATTGAATCAGGTTTTAACCTTTGTTTTTATGGAATAGGTTCCAAAAAACCACTTTTAGATGAAATAAGTAAAAACTTTTTGGAATATCCATAAATAATTGTAAAAGGATATATGTAATCATAAAATTTATTAAGAGAAATATTTAAAAAATTAATGCGAATATAAGAATTTGTTCTAAATGATAAAATCGAGTCTAAAAAAATAAGTGAATAATTAATATTTTTTAAATAGGCAGTACCTTTTTTAAAAGAGAAATATGAACATATACTAATATTTATTCACAATTTAGATTACTCAAAGTTATTGGTTTAATAGGATTTTTAAATTTTTCAAGAAATTTTAGATTTAAAAATTATCCGAGTAATCGTTTCTGTTGATAATGTGAAATATTGGTATTTTTTAAGCCCAAAAATTCAAGAAAAATTGAACTTTTTTTATCAAGAATACAATGGTTTACATTATTATGAAGACGAGGTGAAATATTTGGGTTATATGGAAAATTTTGTAAATGAAAAAGAAGGAGAAGAACTTAAATATATTATTAAGAGCTTTACAAAAATTTAGAAATAAATTATTTAAATTCTGGCTAAGAATATTATTGAAAATGAGAATAATTAAAATTATATAGGAGTGAGTATTAAAGGATTACTTGAATTATGTATTGATAATATGATTTTATCAAATGAAATTTAATTAAAGGAAAATCTTTTGGAAATTCTAGATCATAAGGTTTTTGTGGAAAAAAGAAGTGAGGGAAATTTTAATTCGAAAGTATTTTATAATATGAACTTTTAGAAAAGAATTATACGTATTTTAGCTAATAATGATGTAGATGATATAGAATAAAATCTTGAAAATTTATTAAAAAAAAATGAATAGGAAGTTAATTTGGATTGAATTTTTTTTTTATTGGTATATATATATATATATATTTTATTAATTGTATAAAAATATATAAATATATTTTTATTTTTCAATTTCTTTAAAATACAGTCATTTATATTTCCTAAAATTATTTTAATAAAGGAACTTATATTTATTCTTCATCTTCAATATGATCTTACATATTCTCGTTATCGTATAAGTTTGTAGAAAGTACCCAACCTAGCATTCCTAGAAATGCAATAAATGATAAAGGATTAAGCTATTCAAAAATTTATATATATTAGGTTATATATATTGGCGCTAATGTACTTCCTATATATATAAATATAATTTTTTATTTAAAAAAAAATATGTGTATACCAATTTATCCGAATATCATACATATTCCTTAGCCTTATGACCTTAAAACAGTAGGGAAAGATTCACTAGTATAAGTAAGAAGATTGACAGTAAAAAACATAATAGCGAATTTCAAAAATATAACTAGAATTATAGTTAAAAATTCTTAAAAACAAAAACCATAATAAATAAAACATTCTTTAGGAATTCTTATCAAAAAGAAAAGCAAAGGAACAAAAATCATTATTGAAAAAGATAATCTTAGTGCAACTTTTCTTTTCATTCTTAATTTTAATGGAACTGATATATTTTAAATATATATATAATTATATAAATATATATAATTATATATTTATATATATACTGCTAATTAATGCTGCGAAAACTTCAATAAAAGCTAATAGTAGATAATTTGTTTTAATTGAATTACCTTTTTTAATAAATAATATATTTATTTTTTTTAAATAAAATATATACCAAACTACTCAATTGAAAAAAGTATACAATAATAAGTAAAATATCTAAAAAACCAATAAAAAGACATAGTTAAAGTAATAATTATAAGATGCTTTTTTTTAAACAAATCTAACATAGTAGTGCTTTATTATTTTTATTAATTAATCGTTTAATTCTAAAAGCTTACATTTTATCTCTATAAATTATTATTCTTTGGAGATTTAAAATTAGTTATTTTTGTCACCACTTTATTATAATTGTTTAATTCTTCCATAAAATGAAATTAATAAGGAGGACGGCTATTTACTTCACTTATATGTCTAAAAATCTCCCTTGCTTATTAATATTAGCCTTTACTTACATAATATCGAGGACTTTCACAAAAAAATATGTAAGTTAATATTATACTTAATACTAAAGGAAGGCCAACACAATAAATATATAGAAATCGCCAATAATCAGTTATTGAATTAGTCAAAGGTATTAAAAATTAACCAAATGCCCACATTATTTATAATACATTTACTGATATATCTCTAAATCTTCTTGCTTTTTAAATTTTTATTTTATTTTAAAGATATAAAAAAATACCAGAAATTTCTGTACAATAAACTAATATTATACACTCATAACCATTCATTCCGAATCCTGCAGCAAAAAAAGAAATATTATTGTATATATATCAGGTGCAAATCCTACCGAAATTATACTCATAGAACCTAATATTATAGTAAAAAGCATGCTTTTTCTTCTTCCGAATCTATCAGATAAAAAACTACTTAAAAAACCTGAAAATACTTAACCTTTTATATATATTAATAATATTAATATATATGAATATATATATATAAATATATATATATATATATATATATATATAATATTACCTAAAAATAATCCAGATTATGCTATACCAACTAAATATTTATCGCCACAATATAATTTAAATTCTTATGAAATCGAACGAAATGATGTAGTCCTATAATAATCAGTTAAACCTTTATCTATTAAATAACAAACAGTTTCTTCTGCGCAATATTTAAATTAATCATTAGCTTATTATTTACATTCAAATTTTGGAGTTCTGAATATCATTGGGGATCCCATAACTAATAAACTATAAAATATCCATTACTATATATTTTTAATTTTTTTTTTGAATTTTTAAAATAAAATTCTTTATTTTTTAATTTTTTTAATAAACAAATGATAAAATCCATGTTATTCTTTATTAAAATCTGGAGTTATCTCCTACATATTCATAAGATTATTCTAAAGATATAAATGTGTGTTTCATGTTATATACTTAAAATGCTGGCTTTTTAAGTTTTCTTCCCTTATTTATTTATTTTTTTAATGCTTTTTTTTTAAATGTTTTAATTTTACAGATTTTATATTAACTACAAGCTATTCTGTTTTTTTAGAACTCATTTTTTTTTTTTTGGTTAAACGAATTACTTCTTATTTATATTTTATGTTAATTTAGTTTTTTATTTATTTACTTTTTTATTTATAGAGAATATTTTTATTTAACTTCTAATAAATTATATTGAAGTAAATTTAATAAGAAAAAAAAAAAATATTTGATTATATATGTATTATAAAAATCATAAAATTGTAAAATAAACTATTTTCTTATTATAATTAGTTATTAATTATAATAATTATAAAGTAATATATAAAAAAAAATGTTTTTAATTTTTTATTTAATTAAATACAAACATTAAAGTTCAATATATTAAATATATTATAAAAATGTGCATAGAGATTAAAAATAAGAAATAATAAAAATCTAACTTTTAAGATAGAAATAAAAAATAAAAAATTAACATTTAGAAATATATTTTTGTATTAAATATTTTTATTTTAAAAAAATCATGTTATAATAAAGTATTGAACTTTAAATATATAAATAATTATTTAAAATAAAACAATCAAATTTTATAAAAGTTAAAATATTATACAATAAATTAAAAATTTAATATAGTGATAAAATTTATATGATAGCAATTTAAAAATAATAATGAAAAACTTTAATTTTAAAAATATATAGAAAAAAATAAAAATACTAAAATGTATAAATAATAATAAATAAAAATTATAAATAATATAAAATAAATTAAAATAAAATAAAATAAAATAAAATATAAAAATTATTTTATAACATTATAAATATTTATTATTTAATTGATATATATTTTATTTATATTTATTATATTTAATATTAGAAAATCATTTTTTTTATATTTTAATTTATTTTGTTTTTTTTCAAATAAATTAAATATATATTGTTTTTCTTAATATTGTTAAATATATTATTATTTATAAATTTAATTATTTTTTTTGAATAATATAAATATAAATTTTAATTTTAATATGATATCTTCTTAAAAATTTATAAATAATAAACATGATGTAGTAACTGAAGCCCTAGATGGTCTTTTAATGTTAAATTCTAATAAATTAATTCGCTATAAAAATACTTAAATAATTTAATTAAAAGACCCAAATCCAGACCAAATATCCTTAATATGCGGTGGAGGATCTGGTCATGAACCTGCTCACGCCGGTTTTGTAGAGAAAAATATGCTCACAAGTGCAATATGTGGTGGAGTATTCGCTTCTCCTTCCCATAAAGAGATTTTATAAGGAATTTTAAGTGTCCCAAATAAACATGGAGTTCTTTTGATAATAAAATAATATACAGGAGATGTTATAAATTTTGAATTAGCAGCCTCTTTAGCAAGGGCTTAAGGGATAAAAGTTGAAACTATACACGTTGGAGAAGATGCAGCTTTCGAATAAGATAAAAGAGGACTAGCTGGGACAGTTGTTTTATATAAAATTTTAGGAGGCTTAGTGTCTTAATTCAAATGGTAGAATTTATAAAAAATAAAGGAATTTGGAGAAAAAGTAATATAAAATATAAAAACTGTAGGATGTGGACTAGGAGGGTGTTCTTTGCCAGGATAAAATGCTAATTTTTCTGTAGATCCAGGTTATGTAGAAATTGGATTGGGTATTCATGGAGAGAAAGGTGTTTCATTAATAAAATTTGATAGTGCAAAGAAACTTATATAGGATTTATTAGGATATTTTAATTTTTAAAAAGATTATTAATAAAATAATGAAGTATTAGTAGTGTTGAATAATTTAGGTAAAAAAATAGAAGCATATTTATAAGTGTATATGTATATGTATATTTATATTTATATGTGTATATGTGTTTGTATATTTACATTTATATTTATATTTTTTTAGGTTCTACTACTGAATTAGAATTGATGATTTTAATAAAGGAAATTTTAGAGTAAATGAAAGAGAAAAAAATTAATGTAAAAAGAGTTGTTTGTGGTAAAATTATGAGTAGTTTAGAAATGCATGGGATTTCGTTGACAATTTTGAATATTTTTGATCCTTTAATTGTCGAGGTTTTAGATTTGTAAGTTGAAAATCCTTTTTGGGTTATTTTTAAGAATTTTAGTTTCGAAATAAAAAAGATGTATAGAGAAATTTCATTTGACGATTTTTAAAAAATTGATACTAAAGTAGTTTATGAAAGCCCTTTTCATTGTTTAATGGAGAAAATATTTACTCATTTAATTTCTAAAGAAAATCTTTTTAATAAATTAGATGCTTAAGTAGGAGATGGAGACACAGGGACTGGCGTAACTAGGGCTAGTTTAGCTTGCTTAAGTATTTTGAAGCATTTAAACTTCGAAAAGGAAGCTAAAAAATGCTTCGCAAGACTAGGAGAAGAGATTGCAGGAGCTTTCGGGGGTACATGTGGCCCTTTATATGGTGTATTTTTAAGCTCAGCGAGTTTATGTTTAAAAGATGAGTTAAAAATGAATGGAAAAGAAGAATTTTTGAATGGTCTTAAAAAGGATTAGATTAAATTAAATTTGTAGGAAAAGCTTAAAAAGGAGATAGGACTATGGTGGATATGTTAGAATTTATTGAAGAAAATTTTTAGGAAAAAATAAATTACGAAGTGAAACATATTTCATAGTGTTTAATGGAAAGATGTAAAGAGTTTAATTTAAAAATAAGCATGTTAAAAGCTAAAAAGGGAAGATCAAGATATTTAGATGGAAGAGAAATAGGGTAAATTGATCCGGGATGTTAGTTAATTTTAGAATGGTTAAATATAATAAACTAAGAGTTATAATGAAAATATGTATAACTTTAATAAATATTTTTTATTTTTCTGATATTATATATTAGGAAATAAATTTAAGAAAAAATAAAAATAAAATGTATTATAAACATTATTTATAAAAATATAGAAAAAAAAATTCTATATAAATAAAGATATCTATATATTTATATATGTAAAAATAAAAAAATTATATTTTAAATTTATATCTATTAATTAATAAAATAAAAATACAATTATTTATATTTATATGCTAATATAAATTTATATATTAATAAAAATATATATATATATAATATATTAATAATATCTATTAATATTTTATTTAATATATATTTTTTAGATATATAAAGATATAGATAAATTTATTTATAAAATTTAGATTAAGATATTTTTATATATCTATATTTAAATTTAAGAAATTCAAATTTAATTATTTAAATTAATAAATAAATTTATTTTTAAATAATTAATTTAGTTTTAATATTTAATTCAATATAATTTAATATTATTTATTATTGAGTTATAAATATATATAATTTTATATTTTTTTTAAATATAATATTAATTATTATATTTTTTATACTCTATTTTATTTATTGATGCATTATAAAAATATTTGCAACATTAAAATTAAATTTATAATATTTACCTTTTCTTTTAAAAATTTGTATATTTTAACTTTTTAATTTTATATTGATAATATTCAACAAAAATTATAAATACAAAACAATTAAATATTATTTATAATTTTTACTTATTATAAAAATCATATAACTATATGATATTAGTATTTATGTTTATGCCAGTTGATTTATTTTTATTTTTATTTTCAATTTCTAATTTTTTTTTTTTTATTGAAGTATATTTATTATCACAAATTTTACGGATTTTAATTCTTATATATTATATTTAAAAACCTTAATTATTAAAATCTCTTACAGACTTGCATATTTAGACTAATAAAGAGATCAATTTATATAATATACAAACATTATATTATTAAAGAAAAGTAATAATATGAGATTGTCTTTCTATAAAATGGATTATTTATATTAATTGTTAAGTCCCAATATTATTATAATTGAAAATTTCTAAATAATATCCTAATTTGAACTAACCAGTTTAATAATACACAAAGAAAATAAATAATAAAAACTGTAAATTTTATTTAATAAATAAATTCTTATTTCCATAACCTTAATCAGCTCGTATTAAATCCTTTAACTTTCCCGAATTGGAAATACAAATATATAACCAAAAATTAAATATAGAAAAAATACATGAATTAAAAAGAGAGGAAAACCTATATGATCATCTTTAAATATTGACCTAAAAAATTAGACTCTATTATATTTATATTGAAATTTACTTATAAATATTAATTTATCTATTTTATTTTATGTGGGGGTGGCGGGAATTTAATTTACCTTAAATATAATATTTATCCGAATATATAATGTTATTTAAAATAACTTTCGTTAGATTTGGGTAACCATTGTATATTTTTTGATGTTATTACGTTTTCGGTTTATAACTTAAGGTCTATTATCCAGGTTTTGGTAAGAATTTAGTAAAATAATGTGAGGGAATGACCAGTAATTTAATATAATTATTTAAGTTGTTAAGAAGATATAGCAGCTGAATGAGTATTTCAAGGAAAATGATGCTGTTGAAGATTTTTTAAAAATTAAATTATAAATTGAGGAAGTTAGACTGTGATTAAAAGGTTGGAGTTCTGAGCATTTACTTATTGGAAGGAACAATGAATACCTTTAAAGGCTATTTTTCACAAGAGTGGAATGTGTAAAATGTGACTAGATAAATATAAAATGGCAGTTATGGATTTTAAATTGAATGTTAAAGGTGTTTTATTGTTCCATTATGATTTTTATTATGTCAGAGAATATCAATTTGTTGACTATTTTATTAGGAAAAAATACTGCTGATTTTATAATGTATATTGATATATATATATTTTTTTTTCTAATTATAAATGCGCAAAAACTAATTTATTAAGAAAATATTAATTTTATTATTAAAAATATTTTTTTTATTTATTTAATATTTTTTCTGTTTAAAATAAAAAATAAAATTCACATTATATTTAAATTTTCAAATAAATATAAAATTTATCATTTGAAAAAAAATAAAAAATAAAAGAAATTTATAAAAATAAACACACAAAATATTAATTAAACCTATAATTTATATTATTTTAATTGAAAAAAGTAAATGAATACAATATATGAATCAGATGATTTTTCTGAAATAAAAGATGAAAAAGAGGATCTACATTAATTGCCCTATAGTAGATGTTAATTAAAAGAAAATTTCAATTTTTTAAATACTCCAAGTAATGATTATTAAAATATGAACATAAATAGAAATTATCCAAATATATCCGAGAAAGAGTTTAATACTATATAAGTAAATATTTTTTTTGTTATATATATAATTTTTTTGTTAAGAATGTAAATTTAAACAATTCAAAATATAATTAATTTATGTAATGGAGCAGTTTAAATGATAGGAAGTTCCATAAAATTCGCGTTTAGTAAATAAAAGAAAATTTATATTCATAAAATATGACTTAAATAACCCGTGTTTCTAATTAGCTTTTAGAAAAATAATTACTTGGGGAAAATTATAATAGTAAATCGAGTGTTTTTTCACCAAAATAAGATAAAGATATTAAATTTATAGAATTAATAAAGTAGAGTACTTTATAAAATTTAGAAACTAATAAATAAAAAAAAAAGGAAAAATAAAATATTAATAAATTGGTTTATGAATATATAGATTTAAAAGAAAAAAAAAATTATTATTATATAAAAAATAAGAAGAAGAGTAAAAAAATTGCACATTTAAACCCAATATATAACATAATATAAAAATAATAAATTTTAAGGAAAATAAATCCGTTTCTTTTTACGAAAAATAAATATAGTAATAAAGAATATAGGAAAATAATATATAGAATTAAATAAGAATTAAATAGGATAAATAAATATAATAAATGTAAGATAAGCCTTATATTTCTTAAAATTCTTAAAGGATTATTTAATAAAAAAATAGTTCAAAAGTAGATGTCTTTAGTAGGTTGCTTAGTAAAAGTAGTAAAGAATTAATATCTAATTAAAATATTGGAGATAATAAAATATGTATGAATTCAAAAAATAATTATTCGACGAAGGATTCTGTTAATAATTAACTATATTAAGATGCAATCAAAAGAAAATAAAAATAAATAGAATATTAAGAAGATTTTTTATAAACATAAGAAAAGTATAGAAGCTTTACTACATTTTCGTCTACAAATAAATAAAACGGAATTTCTTTATTAAAAAAATTTTAAAAAGAATTTTATACATTTTCTTAGTAAAAAAAATTTTTAGATGTATAAGATATATATAAAATATTAATAAATATGTTCTTACTATAAAAAAATGAAGGTATTAATAAATATTATAATAAAAATATAATATATATATATATATATATATATTATATATATATAATTAGATATTTATATATTTGTATAATTATATATTTATATATTTATTTTTAATTTAATAGATGAAAAAAATTATTCTATATGTAATTTCATATGGAACGATTTATAAGGAAACGAATAATAATATGTAAAATCTGAAGATTTTTAAATTTTTTTAATGATTATTTTGAATGTATAGACTTTTTAAAAACTAAATGAAAACTAAAAATATTTAAAAAAAAAATATGAATTTCTTTATATGACTAAATTATCTTATGAAAAATAACAAATTTAAAATTCTTAAAATATATTTAAGAAAATATCATAATAAGTTCCTATTATAAATCCTAATAGTAATAGACTAGCTCAGTAAAAAAGGGAAAAATTAATTTAAGAAGTTTAAAAGAAGAAGCCTATAGTAGCAAGTATAGATATTGCAGATTTGCTTATTTTCTAAAAAGAGTTAAAAGAAGAAAAAGTAGGAAAATTAAGAAAATAAAAAGATGAAAATACTATGAATAATTGCACTTTTAATCCTTTGATTTTAAATTATAAAATAAAAATTAAATTAAGAAATCAAAAGATAGGGCTATTTAATTATATCTATAAGTCAAAAATAAAACTAAAACTGATAAAAATACACTTGATATAGAATTTGAAAAATAATAGACTGAATGTACTTTTAAACCTTAATTATATAATTAAATTTCATCTAAAAATATGCCTAAATTTATTGATGAAAAATCAAGGCAAAAAAGTATATAAAGAATCTAAAATGCTAAAATTTAAGAATAAGTATATTTTTTAAAAAAATATACTAATTTATTTATTATTTTTGTTAAGATAAAAATTAAGATTTTATAATCAGGAACTACTTTTAATAATAAAAAAATACATTAAATTCAATAAAAAATTTAAGAATAATTTAATTTAAATACATAAAATTGTAAAAATTAAGTTAATAAATATACAAATGAATAAAATTGCGAAAATAACAAATAATAAGTAGAAAAAGTGCCTTTGCTTTTTGTAGATGTAAATATAGAAGAAGGTAAAAGTGCTAGAATAATTGTTTTTGAAGGAGATAGACCAGATGATTTAGCTATGAAATTTTGTTAAGAATTTAGTAAAATAAAAAATTATTCTTTTTTATTTAAAAAAAATAAAAAAATTATTTGAAAATAAAAAAAATAAAAGATCTTGATTTATGTATGAAAAATAAATTAAAAGAATTATTAAGTTAATAAATTAATAGCTTACTTACTAAAATTGTAGAAGATGATATAGAAAGTTAGCAAAGCTAATATAATTGAAATTATTGTAATAGAATTTATTTATTAAAA